CCAACCGTGATATTGAAGCCAAGACCTAACGCCTTGGGAGGCTGGCTAGACGTGTGGTGAGAACATTCAAAAAGTAAGGCGCCCTCTGGTGTCCGGAGCAGGGGACATCACCACAGATTGAAGAAGATGACAAGGTGCGCGAAGAAATTTTAAAGCTATAAATACGTTTTATCTTATGGTGATATGTACAATATACATGTAAGGGATATAGCTCATGGTTGTGGATAGCGTTTGAGATAGGAAACATTATCCATCTTTTGTCGGTGTCACTGTTTACAGTTCCGGCCTTATAAGACACAGGAAAAGAGGTACAACATTTCTTCCTTTGTTAGGATATCTTTTGAGAAGAAATGCTCCAGGAAGTCAAAAAAATAAAGGAATTATGTTTAAGGAAGTCGACAAAAAATAACGAAATTTAATGTTCCATTATATCGTCAGGAATAATGATATGCATGATTAAGTTGTCAGAAAGAACTATTTGTACCCGGAAAGAATAAAAAAAATAGCCCGAACTTTTATGAGGCGGGGCAAGTCCATATCCCACTGTGCCACAGGGACATACTATTCACGTTTACAATATAAGGAACAAAAGAAACAAAGCTATAAATATCTGAACACAAGTTGCCCTGACTGTATGATTGAGTGATTGTAACTATAACACCCCTGCTGCCTTACAGTTTAGATCGTTTAGGACATGGGCTGCTCGGACCCTGGCTGTCAAGGCCAATTTGGTCTTTTTTTATTATTATAGTAGAGGGTTTTACGGCGCTCGCAACTGCATGAGCGCCAAGGGGTGGGTGTCAACAGAGAAATCTTTACAGGGAATCAGACTTACTCTGCTCACCTCTCTAGCTTCAACAGCACAAGGTCTGCTTCGACTATTAAGGCACCCCAAAAACAGCAGGTCATAAGAAGGTCACAAACATACAAAAGAAGTAGAGGAAAATGACAATAGTAAGGATTAGGAAAGAAGAAGCAGCAGTTCCCTGTTGTAGATCAGGCACAGTTATGAACGTGACATGAATCAGCCCATTTACAATGTCCCCCCTTTGGGAATTGCCTAAAGACACTACAGTCAGTGGCACTACCCGGGGGGGGGGGGGGGCAGTTTGGTCTGAGTGAGATACAACACCCAAGGAGATACCCGATTTAAAAAAAACAATTTCAGCTGTCGGAAATCGAACTCACGTC